TGGCTTAAGCAGCAGCTTCTCAGCTTCTCCACGAGGCCTTTCCCAATCTCTCTTAACTCTAGTGTCTCCCTTCGTTGTTTATCTACTCTTTATCCTGTATACAGCCAGCTGCTTTAGCTGCTTGCAGGCTGTCTTCCCCATCAGATTGGCGAGCTCCTTCAGAGAGACTGTCTTTTATCTTTCTCTGAATCCTCAGGGCTTAACACAGTGCTTGGTACATAGCGGCTGCTTAATAAGTGTCTGAAGAGAGAAAGGGTTGTATATAAAACTATCACAAAGGTAGAATTGACAGGACTTGACAACTGGACATTGGTGGTGAGGAGAGAGCTTTCACCGGCCGGAGGCCAAAACAGGCATCTTTTAAAGCTGGGACAGAACTTTCCTGGTTATGTGACAGGGCCTTCCAAAGACTGGAATTATAGAACGGACCTCAGAGAGTGTGTCATCTGATCTGCGCCCAAAGCTCTAGTTGCTGGCCCATCAAATGTGAAGTGTTGTTTTCGGAGATGAGCCAAGTTCATAGCTTGTTCCTGGGTCAAGGTCTCTGTTGGGGCCTGCAGAGCCCACCCTGGCCACTGGGACAATGGACTCCCAAGGTTCCTGGATGTGTCTGATGAGTAAGAGCTCTGATTTCTAGAGCAGGTTAAGAATGACAAAGCATGGAGGTCGCTATAGGCCTGTGAAGCAGGTGATGACAGCTATGCTGGTGAGCATCCAGACGAGGGAGGGCAACCCGGCTGGTGATGGGCCTTGGATTCAGGCCATATGGGGATCAGTGAAAAGAGCCGGGGATGGTGAGCCTGGGGAAGAAAAGACTCAGGGGGAACGTGGCAGCTGTTTTCAAGTATCTGAAGGGCTATCAAATGCAAGAAGGATGAGGTTTATTTTTGTTGGTTCTAGAGGGCAGAACCATGAGCAACAAAGCTGTAAAGAGGTGAATTTGGGCTTGATATTAGGAAACACTTCCCAGTTATCAAAGCTAACCAAAAGTAGAATAAGCTGCCTCCCGAGATGGTGGGTTCTTCATTGTTAGTGATATTTAAGCCTCGACTGTATGACCCTTTGGCAGACAGATCGTAGATGGTTTTGCAGATTGAGGGGGAAAGGGTTTATTAAGCACCTTGCATGTGCCAGGCACTGCTAATATTTGCAAATATCATCTCATTTGATCCTCACAACAACCCTGGGAGGAAGGGGCTATTATCATCCCTATTTTACAATCAAGGAAGCAGAGGAAGGCAGAGGTTAGACTTGCCCAGGGTCACACAGCTGGTCAGTTTCTGAGGCTGGATTTGAACTCTAGTCTTCCTGATTCCAGGCCCAGCAATCTTGACCCTAAGTGGTGATGCACAAAGGAAGCCCACTGGGTAGATTTCGCATCAAAGAATACTATAACACTAAGGAAGGAACCCTAGTGAAAGAACCCGAGAATACCACTCAGTTCTCATGAAACCCAAGCCAGAACTCTGTGAAATTATGAGTTGAGCCTAAAGGAGGCTGGGGTAGGTTTTGTCAATCAACCAATCCATTCATCAATCAATTGCCAATCAATCAATAAATATTTAATAAGTGCCAGTTAGGTGGCAGTCACTGTGATAGATGCTGAGACAAACAAAGAAACAGTCCCTGCCCTAGACAAGCTTACGGTATCCTAGAAGAAACAACACGTACATATGTGTGTCTATATATACATACACAAATACATATGTATGTACCCATACTTATATATGTTTAAACATGAAATATGTACACAAGCACATGGAAAGGACTTTGGGGGAAGACCAGAAAAGCCTTCATGCAGGAAGCGGCATTTGAGCTGAACTCTGAAGGAAGCTCGAGATTCTAAGAATTACAGCTGAGGAAGGAGTACATTTTGGGTATGGGGGGCAGCCTGTGCAAAAGTGTGGAAGTGGGGGATGGGATATTTTAACAGAGAATAAGTAGTCTAGTTTGGCTAGAATGTAGAGTGTTTGAAGAACAATGTGTAATAATAAGCCTAGAAAAGTAAGCTGGAGCCTAATTACAAAGGGCTTTGAATGCCAAGTAGAGGAGTTGGGAGGGGACTGAATTGGGGGAGGTTCTGGGCCTACTAAGAGGACCTGAACATGTATGGGGTTTAGTATATGTCTGAAACACACGTGACACGTGGCTATTTTGTATGAGTTATATGACACAGCTAGTCTTCATCTCGTCATTGGGTAAAATTATTAGAAATTTGTAGCAAGGAAAACTCAGGTTCTGTGTAAGAAAGGACTTCCTTAGTTCTAGAGAATTAAATGCTGGAACATGCCTGTGCATGTTCTCCCACCCCTGGAGAAACTTTAGGCTCATATAAGTCCTCATTGTCTGGTCTTCACATCACACTTTGAAGAGGTGAGGAAGAGGAAGGACCAGAACACTTTCTTTCTTTCTTTTTTTCCTATACTTCCTTCTAAATTTTCTTTTATTCTGTGCCATGCACTTTTTATATTTTTTTCCTCTCCCTCCCCACCACCCTACCCTAGAGATGGCTACCATTGGACACAAATATGCATGCATATCTATCTATCTATCTATCTATCTATCTATCTATCTATCTATCTGTATGTATGTATGTATATGGAGAAAAAGTGAGAGAAAGAGAGAGAGAGAGAGAGAGAGAGAGAGAGAGAGAGAGAGAGAGAGAGAGAGAGAGAGAGAGAGAGAGAGAGAAACCATCTATTTATCAGTTCTTTCTTTGTCTTTGGAGACTGATAGTATCTACTTCCATAGGTCCTTTGTAGTTGATTTGAGTATAATACTTAAAATGACTTGGTCACAAATGAAGAGGTTGAATGAGACAATCACTAAGGTCCTTTCCTTACTGTTATGATACTCTTTGATGTGAAGTCTGCCAAATGGCCTGGTCACAATAGTGTTCTTAGAACAATATTGCTGTTACTGCATACAACACTGTCTTGGTTCTGCTCATTTCACTCTTCATTATTTCATGCACTTTCTTAAAAAATGTTTTTTAACATTCACTTTTTATTTTGAGTTACAAATTCTCTCCCTCCCTCCAGTCCTTCCCCCACTCACTGAGAAGGCAAACCACATGATGCCTATTATATGTGGAACACTTTCTAACCTTGGGTTTTTAAAAAGTTCCAAAGTACCTTTAATGAAAGTCACTTCTAATCCACAAACCTTTGTGATTAACATCTATGTCCAAGGGTCACCTTTATTCAGTTTATATTAAGGAATAATAATAGTTTACATATTTAAGGATTACAAAAGGGCTTTTCTCATAACAACCCTGCCAGGTAAGGAGTGCAGGTATTATTATACACATTTTATAGTTGTAGAAACTGAGGAAGAGAGGTTAAACATCAGCTATTAAATGTTACAGCTGTGATTTGAACCTCACATCTCTGACCTTTCCACTAGAGTACAGAAGGTGGATTCTGGAGCTATGTAGTTTGCCAACAATCCCCCCCCCTTTTTTTTTGCTTTTTGGTGAGGCAGTTGGGGTTAAGTGGCTTGCCCAGGGTCACATAGCTAGTAAGTGTCAAGTATTTGAGGTAGGCTTTGAACTCAGGTCCTCCTGACTCCACGCTCAGAGCTCTATCCACTGCACCACCTAGCTGCCCCTTGGGGTTTTCTTGACAAAGTTACTGGAGTGGTTTGCCATTTCCTTCTCCAGCTCATTTTACAGATGAGGAAACTGAGGCAAACAGGGTCATGGCCCCATGTGGCATTTTCTTGGCAGAGATACTGGAGTGCTCTGCCCTTTTCTTCTCCAGTTCATTTTACAGATGAGTAAATTGAGGTAAACAGGATTAAGTGAATTCCCCAGGGTCACATAGCTAGTGAGTATCTAAGGCTGGATTTGAATTCAGGTCTTCCTGACTATAGGTCATGTACTCTAACCACTTTGCCACCTAGCTGCCCCCTGACATAAACTAGGTGCTTAATAAATGCTCATTGACCAACTTTTATTGGGGGAGTTTCCTCATCTGGGGGTTCTGTGTATCAATGACATCATAAGTCAGGCCCCTAACCCTATCCTACATATGGAAGATCCTGTTTCAATTCTCTTCCCGCCCTTAGGTTCCCCAGGACTCCATTGTGCTGAGTGGGGTGCATTGAGGCATGGTCTATTTTGAGTAAAGGAACCAGTTTTCGGATCTGGGCAGCTTTTTCTTTCGGGGTTGGGGGTGGGTGAGAAAGGTGGGTAAAGCCAGAGAGAATGAGACCAATCAGAAGGGGGTGGGCTTTTCACTGAAACAGGGCCAAGAAAAGAGATTAGGGGGCAATTGGGCATCACACGCACACACACATAAAGACACAAATATGACTGCCTGCCTCCCTCTCCCCCTACCTCAGGACAACACAGCCTGTTGGTGCTGTGTGTCAGAGCAACACTTCAGAGACCCCTCTGCGTCTTCCCCTGTCTGTCTTTGTCTCCTGCCTTCCTCCTTCCTTAGCTCAGCCTCCCCAGGGAGGGCTAAGGGGAAGATGGGATGAAAGGGGGCTGGCATTACTGGAACTCTACCCTAATGATGTAACCACAAAACAAAAACAATGCTACCTGGATAAAACTACCTAAAACTAACTGCTGTAATCAGTAAAAGAATCATATGGAGTATTACAGAATTAGAAAATATAGCTTACGATGGTATCAAACCACATGTATCTAGCACTCTTCATTAGCTTTCCACAACAATTCTGAGAGGCGAGTGGGGCAAAAGATATCCTTCCCATTTGACAGAAGAGGAGTAATCTCAGAGTGGTGAAGAAACTTGACTTAAGGTCAAGCTGCAGCTGCAAGCTGTAAATAGCAGAACCAAGATTCAGAACCCTTGATTCCAAATCCACTGGGCTGTTTGAAGACACACCATACTGTGGCAAATACAAATGTAACTATGGAAGGACTTGTATGACAATGCAAAGTGAAGAAAGCAGAGCCAATAGAATTGTACGAGAAGCAGTGTGGCAGGTGCAATGGCCTGGGAGCCAGAAGACTTGGGTTTGAATCTCACCTTAGCCCTAACCTGGGTGACCTCTGGCAAATCTCTTCATTTCTCTGGGCCTCAGTTTCTTCCCTCTGAAAAATGAGCAGATTAGATCAGACAGCCTTTAAATTCCCTTCCAGCTTTAAATCTATGAAACCTATGTTTCTTACATTAACTATAACTACATATTGACATTTACAAATCTATATAAAAACATTTTGAAAAGTATATGGAAGAGTTATAGACAAAGAGCTGGAGGGGACCCAGAAGGAATCATGGAAAATGTAATTATTGCTAAAAACCAACAACAGTTTTAAAGTTTTTTAAGATATTGATTTGCCCGTTGGGTTACGCTAGAAAAGAAAAAAAGAAAAGAGAGAGGCTGGCAGGTGTTGGGTGGGCATATTGCTTCATTGCTGCAGCCTCGCTGGGAAGGGATGAGTGGCTAGGGCATTGTAGGGAGAGACTGGATGGGGAATGGCTAGCTGCTTCTTAGAACTGGCTGGTCAGGCCAGAAGTCCTTTCCCCACAGGTCTCAGGAAGAGAGAGAGGCACAGGGTTCTCTGAGCCAACTTTTGATTATTCAGAGGAAGATTCTCTCTCTTGTCAGGTTATACAGAACCTTTGTTCTCCTATTCTTAGGCCTAGGAACTATCTTTTTGCCTAGTTGTGGGACTCAGACCTCAAGAGCAGCTCTGATTAGAGATTAGGAAGAGGAGTTCAAAACTCGTGAAAAGAATGGGTTTGGGATCATCTGTGGATTTGTTATTTCTGGTCCCTTTTCTCCCAATAGATCATAGGATTTGTAGCTGGAAGGAGATCTTAAAGATCACTTAATCCAAAACTCTCATTTTACAGATGAGGAAACTGAGGCTCAGAGTTGATTTGCTGAGGGTCGTGAAGATGGTAAGTGGCAGAAACCAGATCAGAACTCCAGTCCTTCTACTCTAAAGCCAGAGCTTTTCACAGCATGCCTTGGTGCTGCCTCCTCAAGTACTGAGTAGGAAACATGTTTGAGGCCTTGGGAAAATAGGGGAACAGAAATGAAGCAGGGGGCAGAACACCAGAACAAAGAGAGTCCTGCCTAGGGGAGCAAGTAGGGCTCTGAGCATATCCTTTCTCTGTGCTCCCTTTCACACAAACGTTCACACGATCCCTTCCCTACCACCCCTCCCCCTTCCTCTGGATTCTCAAACCTCCAAACAACCTTGAATGACATCTCTGGTTTCTAGACCTCAAGCTCACCCCTCTGGGAGCTGGGGTTGAGTGATTCCCTGGTCCTCCCTCCCTCGGGTTCTGTACCTATTTAGCACCAGGGTTCCCTCTGCTTCTATCACTCCCTCTTTCCCCCTCCTTGCCACCCCACAATTGGAGGACCCCTTAGGGCCAAGACTGTAGGCCCCACACCAGGGTTTCTCCAGGTGGGCTATGCAGGGACTGGTCTTCATCACTGACTCTTTTTACATATAATAATAGCTACTTGTGTTTATATAACATTTTAAAGTCTGTAAAGTGTTATTTGAGCCTCACAATAACACAGGGAGGCAAATATTATCCCCATTTAACAGATGATGAAACCAAGGTAGACAGAGGTTAAGTGACTTGCCCAGGGTCACACTGCTAGCAAGTATCTGAGGGAGGATTTGAATTTGGATGTGCTCACTCTTTTTTTTTTTCCTGACTCTCCTCCTTTCCTCCTTCCTGTCACTAGCCCCTTCTCTTATTAGAAAGTTAAAGCTTCCTGAAAATCTTCCTCCTCCCACTATCCAGGAGGTGTGGAAAAAGAAAGAGAGTAAAGTCAGGCTCCAAGACCCCACAGCTCCTGTAATCCACCCTATGTGATTTCGCTTGGGGCCACTTGTCTTCCCTGGGCTCCTTTCCTTAAACGTTTCCTTTCTAAAACTTGAACTCCAGTCTCGGGTGGACACCACTCCTCACTCCACCCCCATCCCCATTCATGAACAACATGTTCCCCATTCTGCAAAACAAAACTAACCCCCCCCCCAAAGAAAACAAAACAAAGCAAAAAACCTTAAACCACCTCAAAACTAAAAAAAGACTTTGGAAGGAAGCGCTTAAGTAATCCGCCTCAGACCCTCAGAGAAGGCTCCTGCTCTTCCCAGGGCGTTCACGGCCAGCCTGGGGTACCAGGATCCTGGAGTTACTGTTTGCTGGGACACCTGGCACCTTGCAGAATGGGGTGGACCCCGGGGTTCCCCTAGGATAGCCGCCCCTTGGCTGGTGGGCCTCCCCATCCCTGGCTGCTATATTCCGAGACACGCTGCTGGTAGCCGGTCCCCAGCCTCCCTCAGCCAGTCCAGGTTACAGGGATGCCGATGAAGAGGGACTGGGGACCTGAGTGGGCCGTCACCTTCTCGGGGTCCCCCCATGGAGGGGATGCAGGGATGCCAAAGGAAGTCAGCCAGGTGCCTGCCAACCCTTTCTCTGCCCACGCCCCCTCCCTGGCCCCAAGTTTAGCTGAGGTTTTTCCGTGTCTGGAGCCCACACCGGGACCACTTCCTGAAGCCCCGAGGGGGACCCATGGGCCTGGGACGTACCTGGGACGCAGGGTGTGGATCAGAGGCGAGCCGACGCAGCAGCCCGAGTCCTTGAGCCCGGAACCACCTTCTCTCCCCCGCCCTCCTCCCTCAGCTTCTTGCCGTCCTGCCGCCGCCGCCGCCGCCGCCGCCGCGGCTTGTGAGTGTGTGTGTGCGCGCCCCTAGCCACTGCAGCATCTCTGCATCACGATGTGCTCCTCCCTCTCCCTCTCCTTCTCTCCCTCCCCTCCCCTCCTCCTCCTCTCCCTCTCTCACACGCTCCGCTCGCCGGCTCACACGACTTCTCAGCTAACGTTTCCCTGTCCCCCGAGAGGGCTTTCTCTCCGCCCCCCCCCGCCCTTGTCCCCCTCCCTGGTCCCACACCTTCTTATCTTTACCTCATTTGCTGTCGTCTAAGGACCAGTCAGCCAGCCAGAGACTCCCCGCATCCTCCATAATTCATGGGCAGCACCAGCCCCGGCTGCACGGCTCTTGTCTGGTCCTCACCGTCCCCGCCCCAAGCCTCGAGTCTTGCTCATCCCCAAATTGAGTCTCCCTCAAATAAAGGACTTGAGACTTCTTGAATCTAGTTCTCTGAGTGGCTCAGGGTTGGGTGGTGGGTGGTGATGGGGGAGGCAGAGGGGAAAGCCTTCCCCACCAGAGACTTGGAGATCTGCAGAGGCAAAGCCCCTAGTCTTTTCTTAAAAAGATATCCAGTGACAGCTGAGTCCGACAAGAAATCACTCAGGGGAGAAGATTCAGGGGTGGACTGGGGGGACCTGATAGCTGTCTTCCAGCTTCTGAAGGACTGTTAGGGGAAAGAGGAAGGATCGCTCCGGTTCTGCTTGGCCCCAGAGGATGGAACCAGGAGCAATGGGGCAAGATTCGGAAAGGCCAATTGGGGTTTGATGTCAGAAAGAACTTCTCAACAAAAGTGAAATGGGCCGCTTGCTCTTTTCTTCCCCACTGGAGGCCTTCAGAGGTTAGACCAGTACTGGAGGGGTATGGTAGAGTGAAGATTACTCTGAGGTATGGACCACAGATTTTAGATCTGGAAGGGCCCTTTCATTTTACAGATGAGGAAACTGAGGCAAAGACAGGATAAGTGACTTTCCCAGGGACACACAGTTAAAAAAGTTTTAGAGGTGGGATTTTAAACCCAGGTCCAGTTTCCTAAACACTGCACCTTGCTGCCAACATGGAATAGATGGCTTTTGAGATCTCTTTCAATGCTTAAATTCGTTGAGGGCTGTTCTGTGTAGTGGGAAGGCTTAGGGCAGGAGCGGAAGTGGGGATAATTTGGTTAATGGAAACAAAGTGTATTTAGAAAGGCCAATTCTGCCTAGATTGGTTAGGCAATGAGCATGTGTGGCGATTTCATTATGCACCACCACCTCCTTCTCCCAACTGGAGAAATTAATGCAGAGTGTCTGGGACAGAAAAGAAGGAAGAGAATATTCTACCCATGTCTGGACTCCCTTAGCTGGGCTATCAAAGCGTCACCATTACCTAAGTCTTCCCTGGTGGCTTTTGTACTATACCCTGAGCCAAGAGAAGATCAGTGATTTGCCCAGGCTTTTGAAGCATCCAGTCATGCTCAGCCAGCCCCAGTATGCATTATGCCACCCCAGTGTGTTGAGACTTGAGCAGGATTCTTGCTTTCCTCCTTAGAAGGAGTCAAATCTTGAAGACTCGGATTACTTATCTTAGTTGTAGTCAAAAGGGGGCAGAAATTGTCCAGGGCACATTGTGTATGGAGGTAGAGGGAGTGAATTTGGCAGTTTCTAATTTTTGCCCCCAAGAGACAAAGGATGTCTGTTCCCCAGATCTATTTCTCATCTCTGTTTCTGAAGAGAACATTATACTAGTGTTATGTCATTTCTGCCTCTCACTAAGAGACCAAGACTTCTGATTTTGCTAACGAGTTTTTGCTGAATAATTCTAAAATAATCACACCATTAAGACAGGCACTGAAAACTTTGTGTAGTGTCCTATCCCTCTCCACTTCTCAGGTATGGATCAGTCTTTTCTGTCTGTTCCTGGGGGTAGACATTTTAGCTCCCAGCTGGCATTATCAGCCTTCTTACTCTGATGCCATCCATGCCAGTCCAGCCTCTTAGACCAGGGAGAATCTGGTGATGCCATGGAGCAGGGCCATGCCAGGAGTGTGTGTGGCAGTCACCAGGGAAAAGTGCCAAAGAAGATAACCGGCCCCAGGGCTTGCAGCTCTGAATATGTTTTTACAGATTCCCCCCCCCCCCCCCCCCGATCCCTCACAGTTTAAAAGCTAACCTCCTTCCTTGGGTAGGGTTCTTACATCCTATAAGACAAGGGGCTCATGGATTCAATCCTTCAGCAGATCTGAGCATGGCCCTTGTGCAACAAAGCTGAAAAGGAGGAAATACGGTTCTTGAAACAAAGAGAATTTGAGCTCTCTGGACTCTCTTGGGAGGCAGATCACGGCTTTTGGCAGAGGAGATCATGGCTTTTGACTTCTGCCAGATGACCACATATGGTTATTTTTATTTTAACCATCTTGCCCTTTCCCTGGTGTTCTGGGTGAGGAAAGGGAGAAAAGTAAGTTAAATCAAAGTTTTTTGTTTATTTTTTCCAAACTAAAATCTATCCTCTGAACTATTTCCCCAGGTCTCTAAATGCCTAGGGAAGGAGTGAGAGGATTTGCTGGGAATATTGAAGGTCCAAAAGACAAGCCTTATAGATGTCAGTTCCCAGGGAAATAGTCAGGAGAGAGTTCAGTCTTTCTGATTTACTGCTGGGAAATCGGTTTGCGGGATCATAAAGAAGTTAGTGCACTAAGAACGTAGTCATGGGATTTCAGCCTGGAAAAAGGATATTTGCTGTCATCTTGACCAAACATTTCACTCTGAAGCCCAAAGACAGGAAGTGATAAATTTACGTTAATATCTAGTAAATATCAGAATTGTAATTCCGACCCTGGTCCTATGACATTCTAGGCCAGCCCAACTAATGCATTGTTGGTGGAGCTGTGAATTGGTTCAGACCTTCTGGAAGGCAATTTGGAACTATGCTCCCAAAGTCACTAAACTACTCATTCTCTTTGACCCAGCCTATACTCCAAGGAGATCAAAGAGGAAAAGGTCCTATATGTACAAAAATATTTATAGCAGCTCTCTGTATGTGTGTGCACGTATGTGTGTGGTGGCAGTGGCAAAGAACTTGAAGCCAAGGGAATGCTCATCAACTGGGGAATGGTTGAAATATGGCATATGATTGTAATGGAATACTACCACGCTGTAAGAAATGGTGGAAGAGGGTGGTTTCAGAGAAACCTGGGAAAACTTGTATGAACTAATGCTGAGTGAAGTGAGCGCCATCAGGAAAACAATTTGTAAATCAAACAACTTTGAAAGATTTAAGAACTCTTATCCATGTAATGATCAATCACAATTGCAGAGGACCAATGACAAAGGCCTGCTAATGTAGAGGTGATGAACTCAAGGTTCAGAATGGGGTACACATATTTGGATATAGCCAATGTAGAAATTACTATTACTTGACTCTGCATATTCATCATAAGAGCTTTATCTTTCTTTTTTCTTTTTTTTTTCCTGGGGGGGGGAAGGAGAGAAAATAAATGCCTATTAATCGAAAAAAAAATCATTACATGAAAAAAAACCCAAAGTCCATGCTAACCAGGAGAAGGGCTGTTGGCAGACTGACTATTCAATGACTAGCATAGGTAAAGAATGGGAGGCTCTTTACTAGGTGGCTGACCACTAGGGAATGAAATGTTTTTGACTTGTAGCTAGTCATAAAATGAAAAGAAAAAATGACTCTCAATAACTTCTGCAGTGACAGGTGGCTGAAAAGGAAGCACAATCAGAGGACCTAGGTTCGAATCCTGACTCTGCTCCTCATTAGTTGTATGACAATTGGACATTAGCTGTATGAGGCTCTTTGAGCCCCACTGTTCTCATCTGTAGGATAAGGATGTTGCACTAGGTGGGAAGCAGCATGATCATAATGATGATGATAATAATAGTAACAGTTATAGAATGCCTACTATGTGCTAAGCACTGTACTAAGTGCTTTATAAATATTATTCCATTTGATTGTCACACCAGCCCTCAGAGGTAGCTGCTATTATTATTTCCGTTTTACAGATGAAGAAAATGGGGCACACAGAGGTAAAGTGACTTGTCCAGAGGTTAAGTCATGGCTGGTAAATATCAGATGATAGATTCAAACTCAGGTCTTTCTGGCTCTATCCACAATGCCACCTAGCTGCCTCGATGCAAAGAGGACAAGCTCTGGAATCAGAGGAGCTGAGTTCAAATCCCACCTTTGATTACTACCTGGGTGAACTTGCATGTGCCTCAGTTTCCTCATTTGTAGAAGAAATTAGTAGGACTAGATGACCTCTGAGGTCCCTTCCATCTCTAGATCTATGATCCTATAATCTGTAAAGCTCCGTTCAGCTCTAAATCCTAAGATTCTATGTGTGGGAAGTCAGCTATAGAAGAAATTCCTTTGGGAACCTACTGCCAGCGTCATTATTAGAAATCCTTCACCTAGGGCAAATTCAGTTGATGAGGGATGTGGGAGGAGGCAGCAATGCAGGCCCTGGGAGAAACAGTTCAACCATAGGTGCAGTCCTACTGGAAGACAGTATGGCCTGAAGACTGTCCTGGGCTCTCTTCTCTTCTCCCAACTTCCTATTTCACTTGGTGACCTTATCAGCTCCCATGGATTCAAGTATTTCTATGCAAATGATTGTCACATCCATTTAAGCAGCCCTAATTTCTCTCCTGACTTCCAGTTTTGCATCTCCAACTGCCTGTTGGACATCTTGGATTGGCTGTCCTGTAGGCATCTTAAACTCAACTGTCCAAAATGGAACTCATTGCTTTATTCCCAAATTCTCCTCTTCTAAATTTCCCTATTACTGTTGAGGGCACCACTATCTTCCCAGTCATCCAGGCTTACAAACTTGGGGCCATCCTGAACTTCTTATTCTCTCTTACCTTCCCCCCATATTTTGTTGTTTAATTGTTTTTCAGTTGTGTCCTACTCTTCATGATCCCTTTCGAGGTTTTCTTGGCGAAAATACTGGAGTGGTTTGTCATTTTCTTCTCCAGCTCACTTTACAGATGAGGAAACTGAGGCAAACAAGGTTAAGTGACTTGTCCAGGGTCACACAACTAG